ACGACTCATTTACAACAATAACCAACAACACAATTCCATAAACCGAAACCATTCAACTTAATTCGACTTCACCTGCAAATCAACTTTATGCTACATAATTCTAACAAAACAAAATAACTAAAAATACCTATATGTATATACGACTTACTCCGACAATTTCAACTAATTCCGGTTAACTACTTTTACCGCCTAAATCTACAAATTCGGCTAATCAGTATTGTTTTATATACTGTTATTAATACTATTTATTTATACTGTTACTAATCAATTTATTATACTAAATTACTCTACCTCTGTTATTTAGCTTACTGCTATTATCGGTCTCCGCCAAAACTACTTGTTTGCTATCTACAACTTCTATTACTACAACTTCCTGTCAATGACAAATATTAGTTATAAACCAAAATCAATTTCAACTTATTCCTCCTGTTATTGAAATTTTCCGTTATACTTTCTGTATGATAATTTGCAATTTCTACATCTACTAATACTTCCTAACAATACTCATCTAAATTAGTCCATACACTATTATTTATGCTACTCTTATATATACATCCTGCTATTTATTTGACTAAAGCATTACAATTTATTCCTGCAACTTCTTTAATCCAATCTGATACTAAATTATTTTAATAATTATATTAACTTATTAATAATATAAGATATGAAATAGTCTTTACACCACGCCTATATGTTCTTTCGAGTCTCATCTCAGGACAACAACTAAATAATAGCCATAACAACATCATAACAGAAATACAATTCAAATAAATTGCAGAACAACTTCATCAGCATATTATGAACATTCACTGACAACTAAAATTGTAGGACTGATAATCTTCACAGAATCACAATATAACCAAATCGACAATAATTCATGGCACAAATTTATACAACCCAACCCCACATACGGTTTATCATATACCCGGTTATAGAGATTGAACCCCACTCTTACCTTGGATTGAAGGTAACTCTAAGGGTCTCTGATTGAATCTCCTCTTGGCCGCTTGGTGTAACTTCCACGTATCCCTCTTCTTCTCCTCAAAACCCTTATTTTTCTCTTCTCTGCAACTTCTCTTGTACCAAAACCTTCCAAGATTTTTTTCTCTCTAGACCAGAATCAAAGCTGAACATTTTCCCAAATATACAGCTACTGTGCGATGATGATATCTCCCAACTCAGACATTATTTTGAAGATCCCAACGGTCAAAAGTTAGATGTAGGTGTTGCGAACCTACCCTCAAAATTTGAGCATGATCCAACGATTAACGAATCGTGGATCTCCAATTTAATGAGACTGCTACAATAAAAACGGGAATGAGTTTCTCCCATCTATTCTCTCACTTTTTCTCAATTAACCTAATTCCTTTTATATCCACTTAACCTTGTAATTCTAGTAATTCTTATTGGGCCAATATCCATACTCCCATATTTACTACATGACATCACTTAAATGAGTCCAACAATTAATCTTATAATGCTTCAATATATTTAATATTATTAAACCACCATTTAATCAAATATTATCACAGAGCAACTTAAAAATAATTCGCAACATTGTTCAACTCCAACTAATAATTTTGATTAAATAATTAATTAAATTATCGGGGCGTTACAAGATGGCACTGAGAAGTATTGTTCTGGCTTTATGATGGTTTCTGAAATCACGCTTTTGATGGTCAGACATTCTTTTTCTATCTATCTTCTGACCACTTTCATCCACTGAATGTGTGTATCCATCAATTACCATGTCCCATAGATCAGCATCATGAGCCAGAAAGAAGCTCTCAATTTTGTCTTTCTAGTAGTCAAAATTTTCTCCATCAAAGGCTGGAGGTTTGCCGCTGATTCTGTCCTTGTCATCATGATAGTCATTGTTGATGTTTTGGCTTGGTCCCACCATAGTGTTTTTCTAAAGCTTGGATCTTGTACTGACACGGTTAAGTGTATGAACTCAGAACCAGGCGCTCTGATGCCAATTGAAGAAGTGAAAAACACAAGAAGGGGGGGTTAATTGAAACTTAAAAAACAAATGCAATAGACTCAAGATTTTTATCCTGGTTCACTTGCTCTCAAACTACTCCAGTCCACGGCCAAGGTGATTTCGCCTCTTTCCAACGAGAACTTAATCCATTAATCAAACAGATTACAGAACTACTTTGACAACTGCCAAAGTCTTCTTGAGAATGACCACAACCCGGTTTATCTCAAGGAACACTATCTTAATCAAAGAACAATTAACTATGTACTATATGTTTTTCGGTACAAAAACTGTATCACTATTGTGATGTATTACACAATTTGAGTATATAAAAGAATACGAGTATTTGCAGCTTTTTGAGATGTATTAGCAGTCGTTGGTAAAAATCTTAAACGATTTATCCTTTGAGCTTGTTTATATAGGCTTGGAAATCTGTCCAAAATAAAACGTCATAATGGACACTCAATGCACTTTCCATACTGAGAAGATTCTTGTCTGAATGAAGTCGTTGCATATGATACAGTCTTAATTGAAAAGTAACGCTTCAGAACTTGGGAATCTTGCATGCTGCTTTACTTCAGAACTTTGATGACTCGGAGATATGAGGATCTGTTGGCGCGTTAGACTTCTGTTCAAAATCAGAGTATCTTTTACTTTAGCACAGATTCTGATCATTATTCTTCAGAATATTCTGATTTGCTTAACTTGAAAGCTTATGTGGCTTAACTTCTGATGTCGTTTCAGTCAGAACTTCTGTATAAAATACAACACAAATTTATAGTGCATATTTTTTCTCTGTGTTTGTTATCATCAAAACTCTAACAAGGGTTGTAAAATCAAACTATGTTCTAACATGTCTCTCTTGCAAAACTAGGAACATACTGCCCAGAAGTTGTGACCATTGTTGGTCTCGCAGTTATTGGCTGAGTTATGGTAACTATGTTCGAGGCAGTCGAAGACACAACCACATAACTTGAAACCACACTCGTCGTCGCGCTGGTATTTCCTCCCAGGATTTGATCCCTTTCAAGAGTTCTAGGATCTACTGTTTTTTTCTCACTTTTCAATTTCATGCACGAAACGAGAAAACACAAATACAACATGTCCCACTGGACGTGCCAATTTATTTCTCGCGAACAATCTCTAGCCTCTTATTAAAGATTACTTGCGGAATCGGCTACAATAATCTTAGACTTAGTGTTTTTAGTGTTTTGGGTTGAAACTGATTGATATATGATTCGTTGGTATTAAAAGGCAAAAGTAAAGGACAATTGCAAAGTAAAGAAAAATAAATGACAAGACTTGTAATTTAAAGTGAAAACAGAAAATTGTTTTGAATTGAAATGTGGAAGCATTCATACATTGTCAAGCCTGAACTCGTTTCTCTCTTAGATGTGGGTACTTTGAGTATAATGCTCTAAATGTGAAGAAATGTGACCTCTAACAAAAATACAAATGTTTGCTTAAATATAAAGTCTAATGGCGTAATCATCGACGGTTACGAGTCCAACATTAGGATTCATGGAGAACTGCCATAAACTGTTTTGAAACGTCCCCACGTTCTTACTGACTTGTGAGTTGATAATTGCTCTTGTCGCCACTTATTATTGTCTATCGACACTTGTATCCTGTTGAGCCTGCCCTCGAATTGATGTCTTCGTCGACCAGCCTTCTTGGTCGATACTTCTTTGACTTGGATGACGCATCCCATTATTCTTTATTGACGCATGCCTTTTTAACCAAAGATACCTTATAGCTTAAAAGATTACTTTCCTAGTCGGAAATTACTTGTCAATACAGTACGGGCAGGCATGAGATTTACATGAGTAAAAAATAGGAGTAGTAAAGTCAAAATCCATAATCAAGGGAAAATTGAGTGTTAGTAAGTATACTTGTGATAGTGGTGGTTTGTTATAGTCCACTTTGAGCAATTAAATTTGTGAAAATGGACATGAAGTATTCATGTCTTAAATCTAGAACTCGAATGGATATTTTCCAATTGATATTCTAAATTCTAACTTACTTCATGAAACCTCTCAATTCATTTGATGATGTGTATGAATATAATTATTATGAGCAGCTTGAATAATATCATCCAAATTCTTGAAAAATGATTTGGTCGGTTAATGAGATACTGATTCAAGAATGAAAGAATCAATGATAGATTATTATGCTAAAGCTTAAATACATTTAAGTTGTAAAAGAGAGAAATCATAAATAATAGAGACACTAGATATAATTTATAATAGACTTCAATTAATACTTATAATAGTCCTCAAGTCAGTTTAGCTTTTTAATTATTTTTTGTTAACTTAAACATTTATTGGTCCAGTAACCGATTGAGTTAACTTTTCCACGCAATAATGGTACTTTTGGTTTATATAAGGGTCAAAGGGTGACCAATATGTTCAATTGTGTTTTTAACATCAAAAGCTAATTCATAAAAAGAAACCACAAATTATAGATGACAAATAATTAAAAATAACTTTTCTCATAATCCTTGACTAAACAAACATCTGAAAGAATATACATAAATCAAAGAGGATACACATAAATCATACGAGATCACTAGCATACAGATTACCTTAAGGAACATACAGATTACCTTAAGGAACATGTACTCGAGAAAAATGAACTTCATACTCATAATATCTTGAGCATCGCATAAACAACACTCTTAAAGCCGCCTTTTTAGCAACGTTTTTCAGGAAAATACATAACCTTTAAATACGCAAATCTCACCCATAGGTTTGCCAAAATTGACACCTTTTTCACATCAAGTGCAATTGTTACTAAGTTTACAAGAAAGAAATCAATAAAAGAGCAATAACCTATTGTTACCAATGAATAACATATCCTTGACAAGATCAATGAAATAAAATCCTGTTCTACTTCTCTTTTAAATGCACTTTTTATCAATCTATCACATCTATTATGGTATTAGTAACACCTCAAATTCATGTATAGTAGTAACAAAAATATAATGAAAATGAACTTATTCAACTATGAGAGAACGGCCTCAGGCTCTATCGACGGTGGTTTCTGCAACCTTCTCTTCATTGTGAAATCCTAGCTTAAATCTATCATAATTAGCTATCTCAGCACTCTTGAAGGGTCGCTCACCCAAGACTTGAAGTAAGTCATCTCGGTGAAGTACTTCTTTTTCGAGCAGCAACTCGGCTATTTCAGCCACTTTCTCTCTGTGTTCTGTAATAAGTTTTATCGTACGCTCATATGCCTTGTCCACCCATTCGCGCACTTCAGAATCAATGATTGCACCAGTTTTGCTGCTGTATGGTTTAGACATCTCATATGAGTCCTCTTTCTGAGGGAAAGATAGGAGGCCAACTTTTTTGCTGAAACCATAGACGGCTACTTGAGCATATGTCATCTTGGTGACTTTCTCCAAGTCATCTTGTGCTCCTGTAGAGATTGTCCCAATAAGAATCTTTTCAGCAGCCCGGCCACCAAGGGTCATACAAGTCCTATCATAAAGCTGCTCCTTTGTCATGAGAACGTCCTCATTAGGAACATACTGGGCAAACCCAAGAGCTGCTGCTCCGCGAGGAATAATAGTTACTTTCAACAATGGCTCAGTGTGTTCCAAGAACCAACCTGCAACAGCATGACCTGCTTCATGGTAAGCAACGGTACGCCTTTGCAGCTTACTTATTACTTTGTTTTTCTTCTCCAAGCCACCAATAATCCTATCAATAGCTTCCTCGAAATGATTCATGGTGACATGTGCTTCTTCGGTCCTTGCAGCAATCAGAGCAGCTTCATTGCAAACACTCGCAATGTCTGCTCCAACAAATCCTGGAGTAAGGGATGCAAGCCTTTGCGAATAATATAAAGGCTTGTGGTCAAGTTTGATCCTTTCCAAGTAAATCTGAAATATCTGGTCACGGCCGTTGACGTCGGGTTTATCGACTGTTATTGTGCGATCAAAACGCCCGGGCCTAAGCAACGCTTTGTCTAATACTTGAGGTCTATTTGTACCTGCCAGCACAATAACTCCAGCAGTGGTCCCAAAACCATCCATCTCCACCAACAATTGATTTAAAGTATTTTCACGCTCATCATTTGCACGGGAACCCGATTGACCTTCGCCGGCCCTAGACCGACCAATTGCATCAATCTCATCAATAAATATTATACTAGGAGCATACTTCCTTGCTTCCCTAAACAAACTTTTTACCCTAGATACTCCAACACCAACAAACAATTGCATGAATTCAGAACCAGTTATGGAAAGAAACGTCACACCAGACTCCCCGGCAGTTGCTTTAGCTAAAAGGGTTTTCCCTGTACCCGGAGGACCCACCAGAAGAGCCCCTTTCGGAATTTTGGCACCAAGCTCTTGATATTTCTTAGGATTCTTGAGAAAGTGAACAAAATCCATAATTTCTTGCTTCGCCTCATCACATCCAGCAACATCTTTAAAATAGACCTGAACAAAATGAATTCAAAACAACAAAAACATTCACCACAATGATCAACTACATAACATGCTGTTAAAAAAACACAAAAAATAATAATAATAATTACCAACCTTGTTTTTGGCATTTTTGTCTACTTTGACAAATTGTGGTGCAAACATCTTATATATTCCACTCATATAAACGAGAAATACCAAAGGCATTATACCTGAAACTACACCTATAAACTCGGAGAACAAAAAAATACCGGAAGAATAAATAACAGGAACAAAATCATCAGGGTCAATGCCTAGTTCTTTCTGAGCTCTCTCTAATTTCTTCTCAAAAGAGTGAACACTGGCAATATAGAAAAAACCAACATATTTGCCACCAGATCTCTTCCCTAGGTGTACATCAACCTCAGTTTGATTAGGATAAAACTTCCTAGCATAAATTTCAGCGAAACCTTTGCTGGAGACAACAATATGGTCAACTAACCTAGGTTTCAAAAGCTCGTTCCTGAACTCCTGAAAACTAACCTGTTTTTCCTTCTCAAAAGAATCGAAATAAAAAGATGAAACAAATAGACCTAACAGTGTTACAAACACCAACAACTTGGTGAGATGTTTTTGAAACTGTTTCATGAATGATTCTCGGAAACTCTTTTGATCCTTTGTCTTTGACTTCAGGTTCGTTTTTTTCTTACGATTCCCCATTGATTCAAGGATTGGGGAACGGAAAGGGGATTAGGGTTTTTTGGATTTTCAACAATTGTGTTTTTCACAATTTATTGGAGATTAATATTCAATGTACTACTGTCATGCTAGCTACATTCATCCAATCAGATCTACTCTATTTCATTTTTAAAATATCTTAATAAATAATTTTTATACAAAAATATTATTTTATATTCATTTTAATTATTTAGTTTTTTTTAGTAAGTATTCATGTATCTTTGAATTTAGTTAGGTGTTAAAATCTTTCATCGATTATAACAATGATATTTAATATTATATTATATTTTAATATTATTTTAATTTTAAAATAAAATTAAAATTATAAATTTATTTAATATTTAATGTTTTAATATTGAGGCGATATTGATTTAATATTTTTTTGGATAAACTTAAAAGTATTTTAAGAAATAATTATTTAAATAAAGCTAACTTTATAAAACTAATTTATTAAAAATTAAACTTCCGTCATTGCACGCCAAATACATGCATTCAATATCCAAATAAAAGTAAAATTGAAAATTTTAAATTAATTGTTTGTACCGATGTTAATCCAATTTTGCTCGTAACCCGCAAAATTGTTGGTATTATTTTATAATGAATTTTATGCATCGTAATAAAATTGTTGATTAAAAAAATAATTGAGAAATTTAATAAAAAGTAATATTGATTGAAAATTTTAGTTTAATGTTTAATTTTTTTCTTTAAAAAAATAAATAGATATTGTTTTATTGAGAAATCCGAGTTGTTCGATGATGGTAAAATAAAATTTTGAAATGGTATAGTAAATTTTTGGTACGACAAAAAAGGGTTGTCTTGTAAAGTTAATACTACAACGTTCACGTCAGTGAAGGATGAAAAGTGATGAGAGATTTGATAGGAAATTAAAACAAATAATTGGATAATATGTCGCGGTTATAATATTTCTCAAACTTGTAGGAACCTTGAAGATCAACAATAAATATAAGACGGAAACCGAACAATAAAGGCACAAAACAACACTGATATTATTAACGTGGAAAATCCATCAATATGAGAGTAAAAACTACGAGTCGTCCAGACCAAAGAAAAAGTTTCACTATAATCGATTGAGGATACGAGAAAGTCTTAAAGTGATTCACAAAATAGTGATAACAATCGCAAGTCACAAAGCAAACTAACTTACAAATAAGAATAAAAAAGTTGAAATTTTTTCTCAAATTTGCAGCTTCAGTGCGAAGCCAATATCTCTCAACTCAGACATTGTTTTGAAGATTCCAACGATCAAAAGTTAGATATATGTGTTACGAAAAAGTCTACCGAATTTCAGCTCGATCCGAGGGTGAACAAATTGGGGATCATTGTTTTAGTGAGTCTGATGCAGAAAAAATGGGAATGAGTTTCTCTCCTCTTTTCTCTCTTTTTAAATCCTTATTTTCTCTTTATCTCTCTTAACCCTAATTGACACTCTCCACTTATATAAGTGAGACAAATGAGCTATTCATATTTGGGTCTTTCTCTATGTAGGAAGAGAACTCAAGCCAAACAAATCTCCCTTTCACAACTATGTGGAGGAAATCGTCAAACCAACGATATCACAACAAGCTTCGAATTTCTCTCTTGGTAATGCTTTAGTCATCATATCAGAAACATTATCATATGTATGAACCTTAGCTAACTCCAACAACTTAGCATCCAAAACATCACGTATCCAATGATATCTCACATCAATGTGTTTGGACATATTATGAAAAGTCGAATTCTTACCAAGATGAATAACACTTTGATTATCAACAAATAACACATATTTGTCTTGAACAAAACCAAGCTCCTGCAAAAACTTCTTCAACCAAAGTAACTATTTTCATGTGATGGAGTATTTTGCAAGTGCACAAAAAGTGTCAAAGTAGTATAAAAAGTGTCGAATCCATAAAGATCTATTAGTCAGGCTATCATTATCTACTGCTACGGTGTTTATTTAAGGCGAATAAAATTAAGTGTTTTGAGTTGTGAAAACAGGATAAAATAATGAACTTGAATTAATTCAGAAAAGTAATGTTGGAATGTGGATCTCATCAATTCGTTGATACTTTTATTGTTCTTGAATCGAACTACCTATTGAACAATGTTTTCCACTTAGAAAAAGAACTAATTAAAAAGGAATCATCGATATCGCGTAATCGAAACTAGATTTTACTCCCTACTTTATACCATTCGTTGTCTCATGCCCGGCGTGTTTTGCTTTAAAGAAGTAAACCTCTTTTAGAAATAAGTTTCTTTTACTCAGATGAAAATTTATTTTGATTGGAAGATACTATTTTAAAGGGTTACCGGCGTGCGCTAAGCCAACCATACCTTAAACTTACAAACGCGTCCGAAAATAGGTTCAAACATACTTTATTAAAACACTAACCTTCCTAAGTAATTAACAAATAGCTTTCGCGATTTTTATTAATTAAAAACTAAACAACTTTAATCTTTTTTTACCTAACGGCTTTCGATCTTACCTGGTATGTAAATGGTTCTACTCTCGTAGTAAGCGACAATTTTAAGTTTAGAAAAGTTGTGATTAAAACCAAAACAGTCCCATAAGCTTTCCTCAAGAATCAACAATTTAGAGCATCGTTGAATCGACAGTCCTCACATTCCAACACTTTAATATTTAGCTAGACATGATTAAAACGTGCAGTAAAATAATTGATTCATTTTCAAAAGAAGACATAGTAGATAAAAACTTTAAATAAGCAATTGGAATAAAAATAGAAGAAGAACGTGCAGATAAGTAAAGATGTGACAAAATAAACATAAAGCGATAAATAAAACCTGCTCTGAAGAGACTTTAATCTGGTACAAAGTAAATTTGGTGAAACTTGAATGCACGGAAAGTAAAATGACGGCACGATTTAACTTCGACATGGGTTGCTCCAAACTCGATTACATACTCAATCAATGATGTGAAAACTCTCTGATGTGAAGAGTTGATCACTTACATATTCGACAGTATATGGCTTAATTTTGTAACTAAGCTTGGATGCTTTAAAAAGTGCATAAAGAACCTATTTATAGACTTCCAAAATCCTAAAAATCAAGTGGGAAGTTGTTAAGGTCGTGGGAGAAAATATAGGGGTGAATGGGCTGCATAGGAGACCAAGCCCAGTCAAAATGTAACTGCTAGACGTTTTTAAGGGGTGGCGACCGCCACACCCTCCATGGCGAACGCCATGTTCCAAATTTGGCCAAGACTCAGTTTTTGTGATTGTTTGCACGTGAACCACTTATGCCTCATTTTCATCCGTTTTACTTTGTTTCTTCGTGTACGACTCTCATTTAGTCAATTACTTGAAACACAGACAAAATACCCACATAATACTAGAAATGAAGATAAAACAACAAGAAAACATGTGTAAATCGAGTCGAATATCCAGTGTGTTTTGGTGTCATCAAACTCTTCCATACTTGAACCACTGTTTATCCTCAAGCAAAATTAAAGTAAACTGTGACACTTGATAGGTGCTTTGGGCTTGAAGACTCTACTTTGAACAATGTTATGTTAATATGTACTAAATCACAAAAGCAAGAGCATCGTAATAACACATCCCACATTTTTTTGCGGGCATAAGTCTATTTACTATACAAACCAATATATATTATGTCTTTATTCCTAAACCTAACTTACTCGTCCCATTTTTCATCCTTTTTCATTCAGGCGCAATCACATTAAGTCTGTTATCTATAAATACTCATAGTAAGGCGATCGGTTAGTGATTCTGATCTTTTGCACGGAATTCTGATACATTAATTGTTGTGACCCCTTTATTTTCCGTATTGTAGTTGTGGAAGATCGGACCGTAATATGTCCTACCAAGTTCAGCACCAGAAACCTCTGAACCAACTAACAACGATTATTTTATTTTATTTTTACAAGTTCTGCAACAATTGGGTTAAGTGATCGGGTGAGGGTCACCTAACTTAGAAGTTGCATTCCCTATTTTCAATTAATTATAGCACAAAACAATTAGGATCATTCACTTATATTTATCGCCTTCCTTATGTAAAGCATGCTTAAGTCGAAGTTGGCTGCTAAAATAAACTACTTAAGGGGCTTATTTGAGGGTGAGAATTGAAGGCTAAGACATAACAGTTATCCAAATCAATCTTTATAATTAAGAGACTTATGGTGTTAAAACGATATTGATGATTCAGGATAATTCTCGGGTCTCTATAACATGTCCTAAGCTTGTATAATAGCCCACAAATTTAAAACAAACATTGTTTCTTTTTGCAAAAAAAATTCAGTATGGCTCAAGCAAAAGAGAAATATTCAATAAACAGTAAAAACGACGACACATGTAATGACTCAATAAAAACAAACAAACTAAATCTAATATAGACTAAAGAAATATTAGAAAACAGTAAAGAAAAACAGGAAAAACTTGTTGTACCCCAAATTTTACCATAAAATTCTTGCATATTGTTTACATCAAATTATTTTTCATCTATATATTTGTATTTTATTTGCACATTCGCATTTGTTTTTAATTTAAATCATTAGTCAATTTTTTTTCTTTTTACTTTTAGATTAATAATATAACTTTGTTATTTTCAATTAATAAAAAAATATGCCAAATATATATATAGCCATCATTCTTCTCACAAACCCAATCGCAGCCTTCAGCTGCTCACCGTAAACCTTTTACGTTCTACATCAACCAAACAGCACCACACAACACTGTTAAACTACCATAACCTAACTACCCGACTCACTCCATTCAATCTCCCAGCAACATCATCGACTCAATCGTAGCAACTACTTTCATCATTGCGTCACGTAACAGCGACATCGACATCAACCCAAACTTCATTCGCATCATTTTTCTCTCTTCGAGCTCACAGACATCACCAGCTTTCATCCTCATACACCGCTCACAGTGTTCCACAACTCTTCAATTTCTGTCCAGTCACACAGCCAAGGACTACAACTTCCGCTAGTTCTTGGCTAAGCA